TGAGGGAATATATGCTTAAAGGAATAAAGAGAACAGATTTTATTGCATACAAGTACAAGAACGAGTCATTGCAACTTTTCGTATTTTGAATATTTTTGATAAATCAAGTAACATTCAATTGACATATTTTATGATATTAGCTTCATCTTTAATAAGTTCTTAGCCCAATTATGTGGCTGAGAATATAAGAATCATCTCATTAAATTATTATAAAAATTTTTTTTACATTCAACTTTACTATTTTATTTTCAGGTAAATTGTGCCTGCCGTAGTCGTTGTATCACTTCTCGATGCACCTATAAAAAATCCGGTCTTGCATGTACCATAGAATGCCAACATTCTAACTGCCAAAATTACGACAGTACATCAAATATTGTAAAGAAAAGTAAATCTACTACTAGAATAGTCGACAAAGACGACAACGTTGACGACGTTGACGACGTTAACGATAGCAACGACGTTCACTATCTATGTGAAGATGTGGAGCTCGTAGAGAACACAATATGGAAGTTGAATTGGAAATTTAAAAACCTGTGCCAATTTTGATTTTTTTCTGAATAGCCCGTATATATATAAGTCTGTTTATAAATATAAGATGCTTTTTATATTATTAAGTATGAAATAGAAAGTATAAATTAATGAAATCGTTATACCATACCTATTCAAATCATTAAATGTTGTTTATAAATATGTGTCAAGAAGCAGTGATTATAAGCAGATTAAAAAATTGTAACAAACTATTAATATTCGTAAGCTTCTGTGAAAGATAGATGTAAAAAAAAAATTGTTACAATATTACCATGCTATCGCAAAAAAAGCAAACATTACATGGAATGTGCCAACCAATCAGTGTCAGTTGTACGGTTTTTCGGGCCTTCGTTTTTTAGTCTACATGTTAATACACTCTCGATGAACTTTTTAATTTACGTAAGCTCTTAAATCGTTTGTATTGTTTTACAGATAAATCTTGATAAATTAGACTGAGTTGCTTGTAGTCAATATCCCCTTACTAAAAAACTGGGAGAAACTGAAAATGATACTATTCTTATGTTTACAAAACTGAATGAAGTCCATACGCAGTATAAAATGAAGATTATTACTGGAACGGAGGATGAATTGCAAATGCTTATTCCGAAACTGATTGTAGATGCGTTACTAAAAGATGAAAATTATTTAATGAAACTGCCAGAAGATGCAAATAAAATAATTTATATGTATTATGTAAGCTAAAGTTTAGTTTTTATATGCATAATTTTTGTGATAATTTCGGTACTAAATAAAAGTTAAGTTTATAGTTATTTTTTCCATTTTATTTATGATTCTTTTTATTTTATAGTACCTTCCTTAATTTTATCAAATCAGGATGACCTTACTATTGCACAAGATACTTATTAAATGAATTCAAAACATTTTATTTGTACATCTTACAGAAACAGTTTTAATGATCTGAAAAATGTTTTGTACTAACATACTTTGACAGATTCAGTTACTTAACCGACAGATTATCATTCTCAAATCATAATTCGTTGGGGTAAGTAATTGAAGCAAGCAATCTGTTTATTTGTCCACAGTTTGACCGAGCACAAAGAACAGCTCTTAAAGTATCTGGTAGAATATTAGCATGGCTTTTTATTTTCTTATCTTGCTTAACGATTTCATCAAAATTTACGGCAGAAAATTTTAGATTCTGTTTCAAGATGCTTTCATTTGCACTTGATGAAAGAGAAAAGGCGAATATTGTTAAATGCAAGGAGTTTTCATACTCTTTCATTTGAGGAGGACACGTCAGGTTGGGGATCCGAACGGCCAATCAGACCTTAACCTAATTCCCCTTAATTAACACGATCACAGTCGTAGTGAATAATTACACAGTTATTGATGGTTAAAACTGCTGATCCCTTGGATTTTACATTAAGTATAAGTCGCTGTCGAAATTGTGTATGATATTTCTTGTGGACATATGCAACAAAAAATGTTAAAATTGTTGATTATTCACAGTCTTGGATGTACCACTGCAAATTGATGTTATAAGATAAACGCTTCAGAAGATTGTTGGAGGTTGCATGTGTGGTTTAAGTTTTGCGACGGTAGCTTGTTTCAAAGGAAGTAAGTTATGCGTCACGCGATTGCAGAAGCAGGTGTACCGCTTCTTGTTTCGAGATCACTGAGAACTGTGTTTAGAATTGATAAATATTAAGTACATGACATGGGATGTCACAATAGTCTTTTTAATCGTTGTTTTATCCGGAATGTTAATTTTTTTTCGAAATTGATACTACAATTCTCATTAAAATCTTAATCTTGATATTAATAAAAATCACTGTTTAATATTATATGGTACGTATAACAATTATTCGGAGTCAATCATAGAAACGAACCAGAATCTATGCTGTAAAAGGATTTCATGACGCACATATTTCTCATTCTAATTAACTGTTTGAAGCAAAATTTAGTTTTGGAAAGTGCGCCAGTGGATTCACATTTGGAGTTTAAATACTAAGAGAATTTTCCAGAAAATGTATCTACTTATTGTCTTAGTCTATACAATTGAATTGTAGAGTACAATTGTATTAGTGGTGACGTAAGTAAACTTGTTTAATCACGTCTATGAAATAAAAAAATTTAACAGGCTTTAATGTGATGTAATGGGTTGCGGATATGCAGGGCTTCAAAAAAGTTGGCAACGATTATGTGCCTAAAGAGTTGGTGATTCTTTTACCTCGTGGGGATCATGAGCCACAAGTATTACTCTTGATTAAATTGGCAATTAAGTTATATTGAAAACACGGAAATTGGCAATGAGCATGTCACAAATCGTAAAGATGCTAAAAAGATTTTTGTGATTAAAAAATTTAAAAAAAAGTATCTTGAAAGGTTTAGTTTGCAAGTTTATTGTATGACTCATTATCTACTTTTTGAGCTCCTAATATTGGCTACTGCATGTGCCTATAATAATGGTGTAAATATATCCATATTTGCTGTCCATAATATAAATTGAAAGAAAAAATTATACCCCTGTATGAAGTGGGAAGATGTTAGTGTCTGTGACAAAGTGCAATAATTAAATCATAACAGAAATTCAATTTCCTTCAAATGAAAATATACTATTACTTTAAGCTATGTGTAATATGTCACCATGAAGTAGTTTTTTAACAAACTAAATAAAATAGAGGAAAGTAGCAAAAATTGTCGTACCAAAGACGATAGAGATTGCTTGAAACCTGTTTTAGAGAAGCACGTTAAGTCTTAGGCAAAAGTTAAGAGATTATTGATAAAAAAATATCCCCTTATAAAAAAAAATTTATGTGAAGTAACTTAAAACAAGTTAAATAATTTCATCAAATAATTGGCTCTTACTAGAGCCATACATTTTTTCACTGTTATTCAAATTTCATGTATATATATGTATAATTTAAAATTGTTATTACTATTTAAGAAACCTTTTCTAATGATATACTTACGATTAAGATCTAAGAATTAACTGTTGCTTTTTACAGAAAATTTATTTAGTGAATAAATTAATAAACTAAAAAAAGGCTTTTTATAGTGTTGCAAATATCAAGTTGCTGCAAATGGTAAAACATTTAGAGATCACAGTATCACTAAATCTTCTTTGCTGTAAGTAGAGGTGAGTGAGGGAGAGAGTGTAGCAGATGTGGCTCTCACACGGGGACCAGAATGCGGTGCTAGTAAATATGCAAGTCTAGAGTCACTCTGGCACCTGTCATGTGGCCCCAGAGTCCTCTACGGCTAAGAAGCCAGACTATCAGTCAACGGGGACGAATATGTATATTTCTGAAGTGTGCGGGCTTGAATTATACGCAAATGATACTTTTTATTATATATTTGTTTAAGCACTTGCTTGAGCAAGCACTAGTTTGTCTTCTATCACAAGCTACGCCACAACCAAGTGCCCAAAAACTCTTAAAATGTTGACAGTGGCCTACGGTGAGTCAACTATGAGCAAAAAAAATGTTTATAAGTGGTATAAGTTATTCCAAGAGGGCCGAGAAAATGTTAATGATGAACCTCGCTCTGGGCGACCCAGCACGTCAAACACCGACGAAAATGTTCAGAAAGTGAAAAAAATGGTGCTAAAAGATTGTCGAATCACGATTAGAGAAATAGCTGATGATCTTGACATATCGTTTGGCTCATGCCAATCAATTTTGACGGATGTTTTGGGTATGAGACGTGTATCCGCGAACACCATGATAATGCACCTGCGCACAAGTCATTATTAGTTAGTAGTTTTTTGGCCAAAAACAGTACTTCCATCATGCCTCAGCCACCATACTCACCAGACTTGGCCCCCAGCGACTTTTTCCTCTTCCCATAATTTAAAAAGCCCATGACAGGACGAAGATTTGCCACGATTAAGGAGATTAAGGATACATCGCTGGAGGAGCTCAAAGCAATATCCAAAATAGCATTTCAGAAGTGTTTTGACGACTGGAAAAAGCGTTGGCACAAGTGCATTGTATCTGAGGGGGATTATTTTGAAGGGGATAACATAGTTTTAGATGAATAAATAAATATTTTTTTATAAAAATGAAAAGTCACCTCACTTTTTGATCACACCTCGTATACCACTGACAAAAACTTAACGTTGATCTACACGGATAACGATTAATGTGGTTCTCAGTATAAAGAGGGAATACATGATGTTTGTAAATTAATTATTCATCGCTTTTGTTATTCTTATTACTGAGTGAATTATTTAACAAGTAAGTTACTGATTAAATTTTTAATGATAAATGATTGGCTGACAAGCCTCACATTTTGTAATACACTGTTTAAGTTTTAGAACCATAAAAAACTACAGTTACAATATAAATATAGAAAAAATAAAAATGTATTTTTGACGTAATGCTTATAGAGAAAATGAGGTTTGAGTATGCAAAATCCCAAATTGTAATAAGAAATTTAGGCTTAAGGCTTGTGATGACAAACTTATTTACACTCATAACTATACAAAAAGTTACAACACGCTTTTTTAAAACAACATTGAGAATGTAATTATCTCAGTTACTTTTAAGAATAAAATCTGGTTCAACTTTTACTGACAGTTTTAAATTTATTTACAAAAATTATTTCTGCGTAACATGGAGATGTTTATCTGGTTAATAAATACACCATGATAAGAAATCCAACATCAGAGCCTGTTTATTGGCTGCCAATGTAACTTACAATTGGTACCTTGTAGAAAAAAATTTTGAACCGATGTCATGACTGATTGTTAAAAAGTTATAACTATGAAGAAATGAACGTCACTGTAAATAATATTTAGTCTTCTTCCGCATAACTTTGATTATATTCTGTCTCGTACAAAGGAAAAATCACTTCATCATACTCGTCTAAAGTAGCCTAAAATCAGAAATTTTAATTATTACTTTTAATAAATGTATCAACGGTTACTTTGGAGTCAAATTTATAAAGAATTAATTTAGTAAACTACAGAACAACGTCATAAGTAGTATTATATGAGCCTCATTGTTTGTTATCATGTAAGACATATTGTATGGACTTAACCAGCGTAAATAATTTAATGAAAAATGCTTAGTAGTTCTACTTTCTAGATGGTTGAGATATACAAATAATTGTTTTATTAATTTTTACAACTGATGCACATCAAATGAAAAAAAAGTACGATGAGTAAATTAAAAACAATATTTTTCACCAAAAAATTTGTTATTATTTTTTTATAATAGTAATCTTATTCTGTACTATTAACTAAGCTGTATTTTATTTAAAAATTAGTTGAATAAATATAATGAATATAATGAATAAATAGAAGTAATATTGATCGGACTTAAAATTGAAATAATATCGTTTTCCGCTTATAAAAAAATAAATAAACAGACCTTACGTTATTTGTTTCACTTATTAAAAAAAAAATTGCCTGAAAACCCTACTATCTTCTGTACCGTGCTCTCTCTCTACTTCACCTATCTATTCGCATAAGCTGCACCAAAAAAGTGGCATTTGGCATTTTCTTATCGCCTCTAAGAAGGAATGACTCCAAAGGAGTCTTACCAGCGTGCAATACACCATATACATACATATATATATATANACAAATTGAAAGGAGAGGCTTTCGGAATTGATTATATCCGAGGGAGATGTGTCATTCAATAATGCCCGTGACAATTTTTTTAATCCCCTCTGCTTCTTTTCTCTCGTATACCCTGGCTCGGCTCCTCTCTTTTTTTTTTTTTTTTTTTTCTATGAGAAACCTGGCACTGTAAACACTCCAGTTTGTAAACACATTCTAAAAGGATGACAAACTTTGGATGATATTTTAGGTCAAGTAAAAAGGAAATCTCGCATCCCATCAGGCTTTGGGAGCTTCTTGACTCCTGTACTTCAACAGGCAGACTCATGCCACTTCGGCCGTGTACAAACAACATCTACAAATGAGCCCTTCTTGCTTCTTAATTTGCTTTCTTAATATTTATAGTAATAGTACAATGAAGATATGAATATTTTAATTTTTATTGATAAGTTCGTCCATATTAGTTACAAGATAAGCAATTATAATAGTTAGAACAAGGCAACATAATAGTCATAGAATTTTTATTTTGTTTAATTCAATACTGAATAACAGTTTTTGCATTGCCACCTCTTATATTATTCATGAATCTTGCCGTGACAAAATTTGTGTATAATGTCGTACATGATATCCTAAAAGATATCCTTCATTAAATCTAATAGGATGTCATGTAAGATTTCTTGCACCATAGCCTACATGATATAAAGCAAAATTTTCTGCAATTAAAACATAAAGACATACAAGGTATAACCCATAAATGAAGAAATTTATTTAGTATGAAAGGAGTAGCAGCATTTAATATGAATAAGAATTTAAAAAATCATTCCATACCTTTAGTGAGGGGATTGGGCCTTGGTCCAGGAGATCAATAGATGAGTGTATTACCCGCTTAGTCACGGTGAATTAGACTTTCGAGAAATAAATGACATCCTTATGAGGTACATGCTTATTTTATTCAAATGCTTATTTCCCCATTTCGTGTATAGTATTAGCCCCCTTTGACATAATTTCGATAAAAATTACTATTTCTTACAAATGAAACTACTTTAAGCTTTGATTTAGAGCATGATTGTATTTTAATAACAATCTAAAAATACCAATATTTCGACATCCTCCAAATGTTTTCTCTAATGCAGGAGCGTGTTATCATTTATTAACCATAATTAAATCTTGTATAATTTCTATTACAAAATTGCACGTTAGTTTTTCAGTTCTAATACTTCAATATGGGTATCGAAGAGGTAATAAAAAATATTCAGATTTCATGTTTGTAACCTTTGGCTTCGCTTCGGGTAACAATAGACACAAAATATTGATAATTATTTACTTAAGTGCCCTAGATGTGTAATAAATAATTTTTACTAACTTTTAGAGTATTCGGATACATTAAATGAATTTTTAATGTATTAGTTCGTACATGGAATTAAATAAGAAATAGTGATAACACCTACAATGTACAGGTTTTAAGTACGTCACACAGTATTTTTGCAGCAAGATAAGAATAAACATACTATAAAGCAAAAAAAAATTTAATGATCAAGTAGTCAATACTAATTGTAAATAAAAGAACTTCTTAATAAAATATGCATCATTAGAAAATATTGTTAATAAGTACGCTAAGGGCACTTGATCTGTCTAGTATTACAAATTGGTGAGATGTCTCGAGTAATACAGTCCTATGTGAATAACTAAGGACAAAATTTGGCATGGATACGCACAACAAGCATTCAAAACGCTTGTGTTATGTCAATACAAGTCCGGGTACTGTGTGATACGTCTTATTGATTTGTGATGCGGTGAACACAGACCCTTTCTGACTAATCAGAGAGCTTTATGAGCCCTATCAGTGTTTACACAGTATGTTCGCACGTTCTTACGATATACTTAAATAATCAGGCCCCTGGCATGCTCTTAGGACAAAATATACTTTTCTTTCTATAGCATGGAAACACGCCTCGCTATAATTAAGTACTTGAATACCAGCGTGAATTGAATTATATACGCAGATGTCTGGAGAGATGCAAAAAAAATACAAGTTGTAGGTTAAGACACCATGTAGACGAAGCAGTAAAACAATAGATAAGCGGTAGTACAATAGTGCAGCAGAGCAGTATATATATTAGTTAAAAGTAGGAAATAACGTCTCACTCTGTTACGTGAAACCATGGGGTATTTTCGAACTTTCTGTCAGGGTATGATAAAAAAATTTTTTGAGATAACAATCAATGGTGTCATCCAAGGAACTTATTCCGTTGTTAAATGAACAAAAAAGCATAGGTATGGACAGAGAGGCTGATGGCGTAAAATTTAAATCCAAAATCTATTTTTTCATCTTTTTTAAAACTTCACATACCCATAAAAATTTTTATTGAAAAATATAAAATACTTTGAGGAAGATAAGGTTTTTCATAAGAACCAAGGGCACTGTCAGTCTGTCTAATGTGCTGACGAAGGTGAGTTAAAAATAGTCAATGATATATTCAAGAACCACACTTTTAAGGTATGCAAATTTAAGAATGACTTTTTTAAAATATTTGTCATAAAAAATATGTTATACAATTGCGTATAGTGCGTCTTGCAAATCTATCGTATTAGATAAAAAAAATTAACGATGCATTGATGGATGTAATTTAACTAATTTTAAAAAATCATTATCCTTTTTTTCTTTGTATGTATAGTTCTTTATACTCATAATTTTTATTTTTTGTATGATTCTTATGATGTCCCAGATAAAATAATAATGAGTTCCATGATCGTACTCTTGACATTGCTACACAAAGTTGCCCATGGTTAAATACGTCTTTCCGAAGATCAATGCCTTTTTTATAAAACATTGTTACTGAGATTTATTAACAGTTATTGCAAAATCTCATTTCCTGGAAAACTGTCTTCTTTTAAATGTACAATGATAATCATTCTCACAACAGATATTAATATGATTTAAAAACAATTCTTATTCTCATCGCCTACAAGTATTTTTCATTTGAGTAAATGATGTACAAAATCAATTATATGTAGCCTTAGTCCATCACACAAACCCTTATCATAACTTGTATTTCTTATAAGCATAACAATACAGTTAGTTCTAAAGCGCAACTTGTATGGAGGTAAGCATCCTCTATAAGTCCTAATGCTAAGCATGTTGCTGTATAGAAAAAATAAAGAACACTATCAACTGTTCTCAAATCATTGTAACTTTTTGCACCTTTGATATGGAATAATAGCAACCTCAAGTTATATAGATCGGTTTGTGCTGGGCTCATTGAATATATACGACCAATACAGTTAAAATTTTTTTCTAGGATTTTATAAAGATGTGCTTGCATTGTTACCCTTTCTTTTTTAAGAAATAAATTGGATTAGAATTTTAGCATAAAACTATTGCTTTTGTAGAGTTACTACTCAATTAAAAATACTCTAGTAACATAGTATTTTAAATATTCAAGCTATCCTCATCTCTAACAAAGAGTTTTTGAGATTTCCCAAAATTAAAATACTTTGTTAATTTGGTTAGTGAATTGCCAATCTTGTGGTAACGTAACTTTTATCGTGTGATGGCTTATTGAATATATGATAGCAAACTTTTACGGGACCAACGTATGGAGTTTCTATAAAATTTGGAACTTCATGGTAATTCATCATTATGCCTTCTTATGATCCTCCTATCGTCACCTAGTAGAATCATGTTCCTCATAGATATTTTTATATAAATATTAAATATCAGAAGTACTTGAAAGTGCCTCAACATTTATATGACAATTAAATATTTCAATAAGCTTATGCTTATAGTGCAATCATTTCATTTTCAACGGTATAATCATTAGGTTGCTTATAAGTCTTACCAGTATATCCTTTTTTACCTATAGTCGTATTTTCATTAAATTGTTAAGAAACTCTTTCTAAAGATTTACCGTTTACTATACACCAATCAGCACATGGTCTATGTATAATGTGTTTCATTACAATTTTATGTAAACGACTATTTACAGTTTCATCAGGAGTCTCAGCTAACATATATTTATTAATGATTAGCTTAAGTGGCAGAGTAAGTGGGATGGTTGTGACGAGGGATAACCAAGATTTTTATTGAAAGTAGCTCAAAACAACGTACCTAACAATAATTAGGTGTTTCCCTGTGATTTTATGAAGAGCAATCTGAATAATAGACATAAAGTACAAGTGATATAAATACCTCAATTACAAACACTGAAGGAAAAGATTTGACGTAACGATGTTTGTTCGCACGCAAGTAGAGTTGGCAAAAGCGTCCACATTTCGCATAGTTGTGAATTTATAGTATAGCACACATATTTAC